TTTAAAACTAGAAGAACTTCTACATCAGATTACGATTAATTTGCTACAAATCTGAAACAGAGAGGAAGTCCGAGCATTTGGTGAGGAATTGAGCTCGATATCTTTCGTATCTTGCACTCTAATTTAGTGTTTGTCGTGACGAGATGAATAACATCTTCCCTTATTGTTCTACCGACCTCTCTATTCACTATCCTCCTAAAAGTATTCAAACACATTTGAATAGATGAGAAACTTATGTTTCCTTGCAGCAGTATGCTCTTGTACGAGACTGGTATTTTGTTTGTTCGTCGAGCAATATTAAAGCAAACGATGTAGATTTACTCGAGTATATTTATTTTTTCAGAGTTGTCCCTCTTCTTTAGATTATAACCAGTTTTTCAGCTTCATCTTCTGAACATTCATTATACCGATAAATCTTCACATTAAGAGATAATTCATTCTGAGTCAAGACGCAAACCATTTTTTCATGAAATTCTTGAAGAATACGGCTATATTCACTCACGAACTACTGATCAATATTCAAAAGCTTTCTAAGCAAGTTGAGGTACTTTCACTTTTACTTTATGCGAGTCTGAATTTGTTCGAAGTACACCATTCTCATTTTACAACAGCTTTAGTTATTGAAAGATTTGTTCCATGATGTTTACAAGATGTCTACCACGTTTGAACTTAATATGTGAGCCATGAACTTCCAGCTCACTGGTAACTAATCGGAATAAAGTTCTACCAAGAGATTATGAACAATTTATACTCCCTTGGTTCTACTAAAGACAAGAAAACAATAAAAATGTGGCAAAGGGAAACACTCTTTTCACATTTTCGCAGGACGGAAGGCTATCATTAAAGCAGGTTTAGAAAATTTTCGCAATTCATATGCTGCTACCAAAGACCTAGTCTAGATTTTGGATGCAATCGATGATTGTGGCAACTTCACCCGTTTGATTCAACTTCATGTTTGTCGAAATTGTCATTTGTTTCAGTATTAACCGTAGTTTACTATTTTATTGAATGCCAAAAATTCGTAGCATGATTCATAATTTTACATAAGTTAATAAGGTGTAAGTGAAAGATTACTTTTAAATCTATTTTTTTATGGTAATAGTGATTTGAAAAAGCTAAAAACACGAAAGAGTGTGTGGCTGGATATCTGAATGAACTAATTACGTCTGGCTTAGCAGAGACTTTGTGTTCTCCTTTGATACATGAAAATTCTTGCGTGTAATTTCCCTCTCTTTTTTAACCTACTTCATTTTTTTGTCTTATTTTGGCATAAATAATGCACCATTTCATTATAATTATTGATATTACTTTAGAGTGAATTAGCAGACAATTAAAGTCACACCAAACAGACGCGTCGTCCGACTATATCCTTCACGCATAACGGACCTGCAATCGTGGACTCAACGATGGAGTCTGCGAATCATATTCACATTCGTTGATTTTAAAATACCTTTTCGGAAGGATAAACCGATCTTCTAGCTGTATCAAGTAAAAGTTGCTTATGAGCTTCTTTGATATAATAACTATGTAATTTGAAACTAAGAATTATAATTCCCTTGAAGTTAAGTAAAATAAAAATATTCCATTGCCTAAGTTGATGAGACATCGTAGACACTATGAAAATAAAGATCATGATCACAGCTTCGATCTTAGTATTACGACAAAAACTTGGTCTGAAAAGTGCGGGTTTCGTTGGCCGTGTTTAATATCTTCTGTTGTTCTTTATTTGAAATCATCCTCGCTCCTTCTTTCTGGACTTATTATCATGAATTATTTCATCAAAGGGTCAGTTTTAAAGCTTGGAATCTATGATTTTTACAAGATAACGTGTAGTGCTTAAGTTTGACATCAGTTCCACCTGCTATATTATCTAATATGACCCACACTGAATTCAAGCTTACGTACGAACATGTCAAAGTCAAGTGTTCTTTTTTTTTTCTTTCTTTTTGGCAATCAGTTTCAGTGGGTGGTTAAGACTAGTTTTCACGTGGTAGAATTTGACATGAAGAGCGTCAGAGGTAGACAAAAAAAGTTCAGAATGCATATCTCGAGAAGAGAAGGCGTGGTGATCAAACATCAATAACAACATTTGCGTTTGCTGTCTTTGTTCTATGGACGATACTTGGATACTTTACTGTAGATTTAGCTAATATTTATTCTTTACATGCCGAAACAATTTCTAATGAAAAATTACCGAGAAAAAATTAAAACAGCCAATTAGAAAATAGAGTAAGCAAATCCCCTTCTACCTATAAAACGGCCCCAACCTAAAGAAAGTATAGAAAATCGGGAGACAGGGGCCCTAAATATTGTGAATTTTCAAAATTAATTTTTTTTCTTCAATATTTTCAACTTATTGCTCTCTTAATCAGTCATTTGCTGTATTGTGTTTATCTATTCTATTCACAAAAATTAATGTTATTTCCAATTACTCTTAATTTAAAGTTAAAAATATCTCAACACTGAATGCTTGCCTAATTAAGGTGTTCTTTCGGGAGTTATTGTGGTACTTATCCAATTCCCCCAGGCTGTCCCTATCCCTCCCATTTTATCAGGCCCCATTCCGTACGGTTTCAAAGGGCAGACACGGATCGACTTACATTAACGACAGGTAGCATTTCTACGGCGGCACTAAGAGATCTAAGCAAAATTACCTCTCTCTAATTTTGTGCTCTCGACCAATTCGTTCAGTTATCTGACTTACTGTTTATCCCATCTTGTTGATGACAAATATTGATTAGATTAAACCCAAAATGCACTAATCTACTGGTTACGTAACGAAGCACTATCAAGTGACATACCAAGAAGAAGGTATAATTCACCAGATACTTTTTTGTTGTACTTTGGAATATTTATGTCAAGGGATATTGGGATATTTCATGTTATGCATAGCTACTTTGTGCAATATTTCTATGTTGACAGAAACGGTTTTCACCCTTAACCTGCAAACCGCAGTTGAAGTAAATGTGTTTTTTTAATTCTGTTAGCATAAAAATGAATGACTTTAGTGAGTGACAAACAAACTCACGTACGTGCATTAAATGTTTTGTTGTTCAAATATTCCTTTCATACATGCGGCTATATTTATATATGTTTTCAAAATTTATTTAGTTATCTTCTGAGGTAGGCGGCTTGCTTCACGAGGTCTCTTATTAACAAACAGACCTCATGCTGAGAGAGACTTGACCGAATTTAAAACTCAAACATTCAAAGTGCACTTTTATTACTTACTGTAAGCTAATAAAGATATTTACCTTGTATGTCAAGAAATTTAGGAAAATAGTTTCCTAAATTTTGGTTCCCTTATCCAGTGAATAAGACAGTTGAATTCAAGACGCGCTTTCTTCGTTGAATAACTAGCCCCCCCAATGAGAAAGGCTTTAACCTTCTAACTGCCAAGGCCGGCATTTACAGACCTTTGGACTCTGAGTAAAGAGTAAATAATGAAGATATATTGTATAATTAGAAGCTAGAAAAAAAATTGCCATACTTTTCATCAAAGTGCTGTTTTCCAAAGTGGATTTTAGTTTTTATAAATCATCTTTATTAACGGTTTTAAATCATAGATAGAACACGTTCGTCTTTCACAATTGGTTGGTTTCTGCCCTCCAGCGGTTTAAATTTCATAGTTATTCCATTTTGAAAGATATATGATCGATGACTTTGATAAGCATTTTCGCTCGCGGACATCTATTATACCATTTTTTCTACAAAACACATATCTTTTGTGGCGTGTTGTTCTGTTAATCAGAACCGGAAATTCATAATTGCAAAGTAAAGAGTGACTGTTTAGAAAATAGCACTTGTTACATGGACTTCAAATGATCATTTAGCTTCTGCAATGAGCTCAGCTGCGCTGAAGTGGATTCGCGTGCCTTACAAGACACAGCGCGGTCGCTTTGCATCATAAATTCTCTCAAACTAAAAAGATGGATTAAAAATGTCAATTGCAAGTTTGCATCGTCTCTGAGCTTGGAATGACCTCATTTTTGCACGATTCGACGATTAATACCTCTCAGAGGACCACCTTTTAGAAACATACGTGATTAAGAAAATTCGCGTGCAGGAGCGAAAAACTTTGCGGTGTCGGCGAAAACGGTTCAGAAATCAACAACAATAGAATAACACAACGATAAACCACAAGTCCCTGATAATTAAATTCTAAACATGTAAGTGCTGAACATTCTTTTTCTGATAAAAGTTTTCAAAGAACACGACAGCTGTGGCAAGAATGAGACGAAAATGGAAATTACTTCAAATTTAACGGTTCTTTTTATATTGATCATCTGTCGATACTTATAACATCATCTAAAAAAATTTGAAGCTAATATTTTAAATAAGTTTTTTAAATTCTTATGATCCTTGCATCATCATTTATTTCACTGGTATCTTCTGATAAAAGGTTTCAGGAGTAATAGAAGTGTTAACATTACCTAAAATCGAGTTTCCTGTGGTTGCTTATATTCTACACCCCCTTGTGAGAAAATATTGTCTTGCGTCTCAGCCTATGAAACTTCATTCCATTACATGGAGAGCGTGGTAAAATTTAATTATATCGATCTTAATTTAATCAAGAGCAATATCGATAATGTCAAAAACCTTTTGTCTCTCTAAAATATGGTCATCAACGAAAGAAGAAATATTTCTGAGTAACTGAGTGTAACTAGTGTTCTCTGGCAGTCTTTATAATTGTTTCACAATTTTATCGACTGTTAGAATTGTTTCACAAAAAAATTGTTCTACTATGATCAAATTTACTTTCGTGATTTGCTGTTTGTCGGACCTTCTGTAACATCTAGAGGTCCAATCATCGAGAATGTTCGGAAGATGGAACAATTTTTTTTTAGATCTAAATATTATAGATATATATTACTCTTCGTGACTGACGTCATTGTCTTAACAAAGGAGCGGCAAAGAAAAAGAGATTCACTAATGATGTTATAGAGTAGTTGACTTTATTTCGCTTTGATTTACGATTTATATACATTTGATATGTTCAACTAATATTCATTGGCAAATCTTTATATATAGATATGGCATATCTTTGTATTTTTACATAAGTTCTCTGCAGTCTATTTGAAAAATATTGTTAGGTTGTCAAGATTTGTAGGTTCAGAAATTAAGAAGGAATGTAAACAAAAAGCTTTGAGTTCCCAGAAGAGCTTTTGTCCAGTTGTAGTATTCCTGTGTTCTGTGTTGTCTTTGCACACCTGCATCAAAACGTTTCGTTGTAATGCCGACCCAGTGATCCATCTTAACTGATGGGGCGCATGTCTGATGTCCATGGGGTTACCACCCTTTTGTTCGAAACACAATACACAGAGACAGTGACTAATGACTGTGCTTCCTTCATATCAAAGACAACTCGACGGAACAGCTAGATCAACTGAAAGTAACAACAGGCTGACAGCCTAAATGAAAAGAAATGATGGAATATTCTAATAAACAATGTTGCCGAGTTTTACACCGCCAAGCCTCACTCGGTTTCCCATATAGTGCACAGAAATGATCTTGATGCGTTCCATTTGGCTGGGTGGCAGATTGTGGTTCTTGTGTTATCTCGTTGTTCACGATGTGGACCTGTTAATGATCTTCCTTAGGGGCTAAGCTGGAGCGAAAATCCAAACTTGTCGACCAAAGGTATAGATTTTCTTTGTAAAGGCGCAGTTTTTGTACTTGGTAGTTTTTTTTAAAGTGCCATTTCCTTTCTAATCCCTTTGGTTTTGTTCAGCTCTTTGTATGTTTTGTTTTGATAAGATTTTATCAGATGTTCACTTCAGCTTAAAATGCTCTTCAATTAGGGGGACGCTTTTGCTGCTCTGGCTATGGAAACTCAAAAAGTATTTGCCTGTGAGAAATAGTCAAGAAAAATAACATCATACTGTATTTTTTGTGATCTTTTGCACAGTTAAACCTTTATCAGTTGGAAGAGGTACCTTAAATCGATATATCTTCGTGTTAACTTATATGCTTTTTCGAGTCAAATTCATTTAGAGTTCTGATATTTTGAAGATTAAAGCGATAGATAGTTTGGAAAATATGGAGGTGTCGCATGTTGGACAAAAATTTCTGGGGCACTTTGTTGATAAGAAGGAACACTATCTCGAAGAGACCTCTGGAAACCTTGATGAAACCCAGGGTTAAATTGAGCCGCAGGTGACTCGTTTACTCCCTGTTTTCGAATAGACTCTTTAAGTTCTCTTTTCCACTTCATTCGCCGATTTTGAAACCATATTTTAATCTGTGTTTCTGTAAGTTCCAAGTTGGATGCTATTTCAATTCGTCTTGTCCTTGTAAGATATTTGCTAAAGTGGAACTCCTTCTCCAATTCAACCAGTTGTCTTTGTGTGAAGGTGAACCTCTTCTTTTGACTTGCTGTCGTTTCTTGCTTCTTGTCAGAGCTTGCTTCCTCTTTTTCCGAGACACTTGTTACTGCAGCTGCAAGAAAAACCGAAAGAAATTCCTTTTAGCACACTCGTTTACTATTCCAAATCTTGCCTTTGGGTTCTTAGGTGTCATTTTGAAAGCATTCATGCATCAAACCAAACCGCACACAATTTCAGGTGTCAAAAAGAAATTTCCATATTTCGTTATTTAGAGCTCTTCTTCGATTACCTAAAGATCCTTACAGATTACCGATCTGTTCGAATCTACCAAACGTTTTTGGATCAATTCTATCAATATTTTGTTCAATCTCTGCTTTGGTTTCACCAAGATCAGTTTGGATGGAGAAGCAAAGTTGTGTTGGAGCCGCAATGTTTAAAGTGAATTAAACTGTTTCGGATGTGGGCGATGAGACTAGAGATAACTTGACCTTTTTATGCTTGATTCAAAAATGATGAATCGACGTAGCAAGACAAAGCGGGCTAACGCGATAATTTAGGAGAGCAATGAAGAACAAACATAAACTACAAATGAAAGGGTCGTTCTCTGAGTTTGCAAATACGAGTGCGCTCCAGAAATAATATTGCAAGTTTTCTATCTCTCTCTTTAATATGAGTTTGTGGTTTAGGTGCTAATAAACGATTTTGAGTCCGTTATTTAAAGACGTCTAGTTTAAATGAACAGGTATTAAGATGAATGCTGGTAGATCAGTGAAAAGGCTATCTCGTCTTTGTCTTGCCGCTCAAACCCGTGTCACAGGAAGAAATCTCAGAAATTCATGGAGAACACAATTAGGGTGATAGTTCTCTGATAATCGCTTCTAGTCAAACTTAAGTCCTACACAGCTAAGTTAAATATCGACAATTTATCCGTCATTCTATAAATTGCATTTAAGTGATGTATGTCAAGTTTGAAAGTACTCGTGTTTAGAATGATCGATGTGGCAAGAATTTTCAATTAGTGTTCTCGACGAAATGCCTCTGTGAGTAATGGTCTAAATCAAGGCTTTTGCAGATATCTTTGTTGACCTAAATCACTACATTTAAAAGCTATTTTCTCATTTATTTCTGTATTAACTAAAATGTTTGAGAGTCGAGTAAGAATTGTATTGTTTTGACGGAGTTTGCCAAAGGTGTTGGGAAACATGGGTGGTACAAGAAATATGATGGCAGCCATGCTGCACGAGTAGAGTAGTGTTTTGAACTTCAAATGTCAGTTTGAAACACAGCACGTATTTTCAAAAGTAAAGCCTAACTCTCAACTTGATTTAATGTTTGCTGGCTTTCTAGCCGGCCAAAAAACATAGTAAAACTAACATAAGCTCCGAGCAATTTTCAAAGAAGCCTGCAGGTTGTTGTTCGTTTATTACACAAAACCCCCGTGAATGTTCCTTCTGAGTATCAATTTATAGAGAATCAGTTTAAAAGATTTCGATAGGATTGCTGTCGAGTGACTCTATTTTACGTTGAGCTCACACTGAAAATGGGTGACTCCTCTAAGAGTTCAATTAATACATTATATCGAAGCCAAAGTAATTACAAAAACTCACTAGTGTCAGTCAACCTCTTGAAAAATAAATTACCAATTTACAGCTTTTAATCGAAATATGCCGAGAAGGAGTTCCTGTTTTTGCGTAAATAAACAACCATAAGAGCAGGTGAAACTAACTAACTAACTCAATCAAACTAGATAAATTTTATTCTTTTCATTTTTGGTATCGATTTTTAGAATTTTGCGTTCTTTTGAAGCGACATGAAGTTTGTAATGCCTTCCTGACGTGTACTTTGATCGATGTACATTGATTAACTCGATGAATTCTGAAATCGAGTTCATTGCTTATTTTGATTTATAGATTATATTCTGTGTCATCTTTCCAATGGAGAGCATAATGTATTACATCAACCGCTCCTCCCTGAGGGAATGGCTGTGTTCCTTACTTCAAATCTGACCTTTGTTTTCTAGAAAGACTTAAAATTTTTGGTCCTTCAAACGGTTAATTTCGTTACAAAACTTGAATTTTTTTGAGCTGGCATGTTTATTTGGAAAAAATAATCAATATGTCTGTGTGTTACCGATTCTTGTTCATTCGTAACCATATGATTAAAATATGTTAAAACAAAATACGATCTTTCTTTTCATCAAACTAAAGAGATCAATGGGGCATGGAACTTTCAAAGGTAAGATATCATGAGCAAAGCGAATGTCGTTGTACGCTCGAAATGGTTGAAATTCGAACTTTTTAAAAATTTGCGAGATTGGCTTCCCACAAAATCTTATGTATTTTTAAAAACAGGAATTAATTGTGAATCTGTTCGTTTTTAGTCTAAAGAAAGAGTGATGTACACCAGATTTTTATCTGTATAATTTGCGCAGCATTTAATGTGCTCGCTAGTGACTAAACATACAAACTAATATGTAATGATGTAGAAACATGGTGGTAAACTAGTTGAGTGACAACTGTAAGTATTGTATCCATTGCAAGCAGGGGTTTTACTGCATGCAAAACCATATTCGTTCTCATAATGTCCGACTTCGACACTTAAATCATCTTTTACCTTTTCTTTTCGTAAACATCCATCGAAAATTAGCAGTTTGCCAACGTTTCTTCTCCACGTTCTGCTGCCTTGAGCTGTCAGTGGAAGAGGCTGGTATTTGTGGGGAGACAAGTGAGGAAGATGGCGCGATCGGCAGCTCTCTACTAGCCATTGGTATTGGTATGGGAGCCAGTGGATGAGAAAACGGAATGAAGCTTTGAGGCGAAGTGTCAAAGGCACCTCTACCGTGTGCTGTTGCCGGCGGATGTCGAAGTGGCATCGTACGTCCAAAATCAAGCCCGTGGTAATGCGGCATGGCGGTCGTCAAGTGTGGAGTAGGCATCCTACGGCGCCAGTCGTCCATCATATCGTCGATTTTCTACCGTACGTTCCAACTGCTGCGGCAAGTCTTGGCTGAAATTGATGAATTTGGAAATGGACCGTGATGAGTAAAACTTATAGGCTGGGGCGGGCTCTGCTCTTTGTGGTCAAATTATGGATTAATCGAATCAGCGATCGAGATTAGTACACTGGGACCAGCGCACCGTGAAAGAGCTGCGGCGCTCGACGTGCAGTACTGTAGTTCACTCGGAGCAACTAGGTGGAAATCTCCCAGGGCTTCAATTAGAAGCCAGGCTTTCTACTTATCTAGGAAGTGTCTGGTGAATTTGAAAATGTCGCACTGGGGTTTCTGGGCTTACAATACGACACACGCTTCATCAGTAATTAAAATTAAATCGTATTAAGTTAATCATCGTACGACGAACAATGGATTGAAGTGAATCGTCTCTTTTTTTTTTCCAGATGGAGGAACAAAACGTTCCCACACGTTTGAATTTTTTGCCCCAGGCCTGTTTCATAATTCAACACCGTTATCACTATTTTAACATCGCTAATTTTGCGGCTTCAAAATTAAGTTTTATTCTTTCACCTCAAAAAGGTAATTCACTGGTTTGATAATTTGTAACCGTTTTTGTGTAGTGAATTATTTGAGTAGTTCTGATTATGTACCCGTTATCTAAACTGTAAGAGGACACGGAAGACCTCCTGTGTTTTGCGAGCCATTTTTCCAATACACTTTTGTGAGTACAGCAGAAAACAAACTTAGTTGTTTCTTTTTGCCGTATCGCGATCCAGCGGGTATTCCTTCATATTCATCAGTCTTCGGCTCAAAATATTGAAAGAGGTTATATATTTCATTCATCGTCGTAATTTTTCATCATTATAACCTTTTCATCTTCTGCCTTTATGTCAGCAACCAGAAAACTCCAACTCTGAATAGTTTATAAATCATCTCAATCGATTTTCTTTGTCTATGGACTTATTTTGCATTCGTCCTCACGAAGTGTTTGCCATTTTCTAGCGTAGGAAGTTTGTGTATCAATTGGGGTACTCAACCAGAAAGCGTTTTCATACGAATGAGATGTCACTGTCTTTGCCGCAGTTTACTCACTGTTGTTAAGCGTATCAACTGGTCATTGCGAACAGAGCGTAACTTCAATGAACCGTAAATATACGATTTGAATAGATTTCACATTTTAATAAGACTTAGCTTCCTGCTGCGATACACAAAAGAGGTTTCTAGTCAACACAACACCCATACAGCTCCAAACAGTTTTCGACGCTACGCTCCAAGCGTAAGCGCGCCTTCCATGTCTGCAACTAAGATCTTAACTTTTACATCGTTAGTGCACTGCGGAGATTCCTTGTAAGATCTTTTTAATTACCCCGGTAATGTCTCTATTGAAATAGAATCTTACATTATGTTATTTTTAGCCCGCGGAAGAGTAAGTCTGCCATCTATGAGATCGCGCCAACTATCTGAAAAACGACCACTAATATCCCACATTCACAATTTTTTTCATTGCGGTTCCAAGATTTCTTTTTCCTCTTGTGACACTTTCAAATCCTGGTGTGTAATAAATATTTTAGGCATTACAATAACCTTGACCGCTTGGCTTGGAATCATAACTATTCAGCTATCCTGCTTTCAATCGCACATGCTCAGTTCACAATTCAACGTTTTGTTTCGCCTGCCTCAAGTCTTTTTTTCTTTGAACTTTATAAGAGCGCTAAAAATTTTAGCTATGCGCCTGCCAAACGCGATTTTAAGATTCTTTTTAAAAGCATAGGTCATACGTTTGCACATAAATGGATTTTAATGTGAAATGCGGTTCAGCTTCTTTTGTGAAGTTTCATGAGGCGCTATTGTGAAAAGATCGAGTGCCAGGTGCACTGTATTCTACGGAACTAACACTCCAAAGCACAATCGATCTTTCAAAATTCAATATTTTGATTTCAGGTATTTCAATTTACCTTCTTCCTCAACGTCGGCGTTCCTGAATCAAATCAGCGTTGATCAATCACTTAAAAGAGTTTTAAAAGATCAAGAACTGCCAGTCATTAGCAAAAAAATCTACACTGATGTTGTTTTATTGGCGACCCTGTTGTGTTAGCCGCACTAATGCGGAGTAACTTTAACGATTTAGACATTTTTTGTACAAGAATTTTCACGATTTATTACGCCTAAAGAAAATATGCAACTTGTGGGACGTATGTCAGCTTAAGATGACAGAAAATAATTGCCCACCATGGAATATTTACCACCCCATAACGCCTAATTTCTTTATTTTTTCCGTTCGCAAGTAAAGCGGTCTCGATTTGTCTCTATCAGGTTATAAAATATTTGGCTTTAAAGGAAAAAAATTGTGATTACCACATACTAAATTGCACGCTGGGATTCTGATGGTAGTGTCTTCATAGCCTGTATTTAAAAACGTCATATAGCGCGCCAAACAAAGCCGGGCAGATTGTATCCTTTCAACTGTGTCCGGACTCCAAGTTTCCCGCTAAGTCTGTCTAAGGGGTCTAAAATCTTGATCCGTATTACAGATTACAAGAGATTTATGGCAGAATATAACTTGAACATGGCACTTAAATTGACGGTTTCTGCACACGTTCCAAGCGCCGCATTTTCAATTACTCGTATGAGTCCTATCCTGATGTAGACTTCACAGGGTTTTTCCCATAGCATCACTTGCTTTTTTGCCCAAAAGAAAGTCTTTTGTTCCATATCTCGTAGAAACAAAGGCGTGTTGAATAGTAAGCAGTTTGATAGAGAATTTTAAAGATAACTCAGCTGAAATAAAATTTAATGAGTGTTATACGCTGTACTAAGTCGATAACGAAAACTTTGAAATGAAGAAAACGTTAGAACTGATGATGAATTGTCTTGTATTTTATGATTATCTTTATCAACTTGCTGTTATTTAAATCAAACGAGAGTAACCCAATTGAATGGAAGGCTCGTGAATTTTCCGAAGAAGCGGTGTGGCATTCCCTACGTAAAATATGTTCATTACTTTCAACGACCTACAATCTGTGTCTATCATGATTTTGCTACTCGATAAAATTCTCCCTTTTACGCAAAGAGTTGCTCCTTCTCTTAGCTTACATCTTTCTCATCTTTGTCGAAAGCGTTTGATTTGTTCCTTTCTTTTTGAAGGGTTTAACCGAAATAGACTTGAGAGACTTTGGACATGTTTATTTCGAGCAGCTGCTATATTTGCGACTTCAAGCTCTGCAAGGTTTCAGGCGAGAGACTGGGAAAGCTTCTATATTGCAAATATACGGCAACATCAATTCCACCGAAAATGGATAAATCAGGTCTTGACAAGCCCCCGTGAAACCAATAAAACCAGTCATATCATCTATGAACTTGGCATTTTATGCTCCTACAATAATCGTCTTCCTGTTTCTAAAGTGACTAACAATTTCTCCTCACCCACGGCAAAAAATTTGACAGATGTGTTCATTACAGTAAAACTACTGATTTCACGCATGCCCATCAAGTGCCTTGCCAGCGATAAAAAAAGGATTATAATTTTATTTCCATTACACACAACAAAAGCTGTTTCCTTTCTGGCCTCACTGATTATAAAAAGATGAGTGTGCAGGTGTACCAAGTAAGAATTAATTCTGATCCGGTATAATTTAATATTTTTCTTTTCCATCTGTCGAGTATTTGTGAATCTGTAGAAATTTAAGGGACAGTTTGAAACAAAAGCCCGTAAAACTACTAACATTTTAGAGATTATTGTCTGCTACTTGATTAAAGCAGACATCGTTCTATTTGCAAAAACCTTCAGTCACAGCCTACTCAGATACTGTAGAACTCCAATGAGTTCTGCCATATAATGCGATATCAAAGGAGAGCCTCAGATACCAATCGCTTCTTCATGAGTGTTCTTCGCCAAAACCTTGCCAGATATCGATTCAAAATTTTTAGATATAGGAATCACGATCACCTCTTCTGCCATATTTGCGTTCTCACCGGAAAAATTCGCCTCTGTCAAAGACATATTTATCATATATGAGCTGCAAAGCACACTTTTACTCGGGAAGTGAGAATTCCACATCTTTCACTGTCTTTTTCCGAGAAGTGGAAGAGAAAGGGCTACTGATACTGACTTATCCCTGGTGGTGGAATATGCGACTACCGATTCCAAAGAGAAATACGAGTGTTTATCTCGCTAGGCCGGGGAGCGCCAATGTAACCGTAATAAAAGACCTGATACATGTAACAACATTGTCTGACCCTTCCTTTGCTCTCTAAGACCTGGAAAGAGCAACGGCACTATCCCACCCCTCCCTCCCCTCTAGGACTTGAAACAAGCAACAGCATTATGTCAAACCTTCCCTCTCCCTCCTCCCAGTGGTTTGGACTTGTGGGATTTATTTACTGAGCTTAAGATCAATCGCTCTGACGCTCAAAACGTAGGCTTTAAAACTCTTTACGGTGGCAAATTTACGTTATCATTCAGTTGACATAACCAAATAACCTTGTTATACTCTCCCACCGACACAGCAACACAGTTTCTTTAGAAACTTACCCCCTTCATCAATTAAACAAGACAGATAACGTGTCTTTAGTAGGCGCTACCCACCGCTTGAAAGCTGTGTCCTTTCTCAAGGCTGCAATAATTTGCGGTTAAGTCATATTCCTTCCATAAAATTCATGGTAGCATGAAACCTCGATTATCCTTTTGTAGTGTGGCACAGGACAACTGATGCGTGATTGAACCGTTATCCCACTTCCATACTATCAAAACAACAAAAATGTGCGATACATTTCGCCCTGCAAAATGTCTTTCTTTAGGTATAAAATGAAAATTTTTATTTAAAAGGTTCGTTTTATGGCCTGAGATAAGGTAGGAACTGGAAGGTTAAGAGAATTCATGAAGAAAACAGATAAAATGTGCTTAAAAAATCTCCTAAATCATAGTTGATTTCCAAAACTGCTCCTAAAATGAACCCCCCTTGTGGGAAGGCCGGAAATTCGTTGTTACGCGCCATTGAACGTATTTTCGAAAAACATGTTTACCAGACCTTGCCTATTAAAAGTATTTTCGATCAAAAATTGTATCTTAACTTCCTCATGGTGAGTTCGATGACGTCATCAAGTGACGTAACGAAGCTGACTGGTGTTCTTACTCCTGTGACGTAATCTCTGACGTGTCCTATTACGTAGAAGAAGTAGTAAGGTCTTCGGACAGATCTCTGGGGTTCCATTATCAA